ATAAATTGACAGCCAAAGATATTTTCTATAGAATAAATCTGTTTTGGAGGTGCCTTCTAGGATCTAAATTGTATCGAGTGGGATTTTTCCAGAGCTTTGTTCATGAACTTTGAGAATGGAAATTGGAAAAATGAAGATGAGAAAAGTAAAGGTAAAGGACAATAAAAAGAGCTCCATTATTGGGCCAAGTAACGGTTCATTATTGGGCCTTCTTCTGGAGCAAACGGACGAGGGCATTCTCCCGGGCTGAGTGGAGACGACAAATGATCATTGGGCTCCTAATTGGCCACTCTCGATTCAAAAGCGTAGTACTTAACATCGGCAGATGTTATCTCCATGCGAAGATTTTTCTTTCATAAAAGTTGTTCAGACAGAAAAAAAATACTTTTTAGCCGTACAGCATCTAAATTATTTTTGATATTTTTTTACCAAATAAGGAGGGAATATTTTAGGCCTCGTGAATGTTCACTTTTAATTGGAGATGTACTTGTGTCTAGAGAGAGAGAAAATATTTGGAATAAAATACTGTTTCTGCATTAAACTACCACAAGAAGAAAGGAATACAAAAAATCATGTCACACAAACGTAACTGATTTATTTAAAGCTATTGGGTTAATTGCAAATGGAGGCCAGTTATAGTTTTATTTGTGCATATAGATACACTGTACTATTTTCGTGAGTGCGGAGAAAGCCCCTCGGGAAAATTTTCAACTCTGTCATGAGTGAAGAAAAACTAGCAATTAGGAGATTCGCCCTCATCACTAGATCTATAAGAGGTCTATCCACCTCCTCAAATCTCCTTTGACTTTTTTATAATTTTTTTTTTTTAATTCTGAGGATCCATTTGGTCTGAATGAAAATGAAGGGGAAAAAAAGAAAATGAAAAGGAAAATAGATTCATATAGTTTGTTTAGAATGAGTAATAAGAAGAAAAGAAAGCAAGAATCGGACAGGGGTCTTAGCAATTTTCATTCTCCGTTTCTTTCTCTAGAGCTAGTGAAAGTTAAGGACAATATAATGAAAAAAATATGCAGCAGCATCAACAGTTCAATTTAATCAAAAAGGCTCAAATTTGCAACAGAATATAAACGTATCGATAGAAGTAGTGTGCACAGAGACCTGAGCTTGATTGTAAAATGCAATACCACTTCCATGTGTGTTTGGCAAACTCATAAAACTATGTTAGTTCTGAATATAACTCAATTTTAGGTTTGCTTTTGATTGACAAAATCTAGTCTTAGGCCGAAATAGGACGATAAAACCAGTTAGTGTTAGACCAGATGGTAACGGTCCAACTATAAACTGGTTTAGAGTCGTTGAATCTAGAGCAAATTCAAGAGATGTCCACTGATCACGTTCCACCCAGCAAATTCAAAACATGTCTACTGATTGCATTGCAGGCACAAGAACTTACCGATGATTTTAGGCAGCTGAATTTATATCAAATAAACATAACACTGAAAATGAAAATCCACGCGCACATTTGATTGTTGAACAGTAATAAAGACAAACATATACTGGACATCAAGAAGTAACCAGACATCCATGTCCATACTCTATAACTGAAAATATGGAAATGGAGCGGGCATCAAATTTAAGGGTCATTACAACCAAAAGCAAAAGCTGGTCATTATTTGAACGAGAACACTCGCAATACCTCAATACTGAATCATACTGAATCACAAGAAAATCTCAAATTTTCTGAGACCCAACAGCTTTCCAGAGCCTCACCCATTCCTCCATAGCATCTGCAGCTCTCCCAAACACTGGATTCACTACCCCAAGCTTCTCCTTCACCATTTTGGCCATCTCAACGACGCAATCCTCAGCGGTAACAGCAGTCCTCGGCAATCTCACCGACTGAAAAAAGGGCACTATCTCCTCCATAAGCTTCACTCCCTCCCATTCTTTCTTCAAACTCTCCATTGCATTATCCCCTCCTTCAATTCCCCTATGAACATAAGGAAGCCCACTCTTCACTCCTAGCTTCAAATGATCACACACAATCTTTGCACACATTCCACACCAAATATCCTCCATTGTCTCCCATCTCACCTTCCCCTCTCCAGCCAATCTAAATCCAGGAATCAAAGCGGGCCCTATAAGCTCCCTATTGAATCCAAGATTGATACCACTTGCTGGCATCATAGTTTGAAGTGGAACAGTGAGCACAGCGTCAACATACCGAGTGTTTCGCTCCCTCGGCTTCACAATTTGAGTAGGGGCGTCATAGTCGGCTATATTGAGCCAGAGGCCGCAAGATAAAGCACAATCAACCCCAACTCGAAGACTGAAGGGATAACCACGGACAAAATCTGCACCTTTGGTATAGGGGTCATAGAGAGTGTTGAAGAAAAATGGTGTTGCTGGAGTTTGGAGATTGGTGAGATGCTGTGCCACGGCATCAGTGATATTGTTGTTAGGATCATGGGCTGGAAAACAGTTATCATCGATGGATATGATGTATTTCTTGGAGGAGACGAGATACCCAAAGTAACGGCAAGAATGGCCCGAGAAATTAATTGATGTAGTGCCTATGATTTTTTCCATGTCAGATTTGGTATAGATTTTGTGGTCAAAGCCTTGAGGGATTTTGAGTTCCTCTTTCATGTCAGGGTCTTTGATGACTATGAGGTGGAATTTGGAGAAGAATGCTCGCCATGCCTCCATGAAGGCAGTCAGATCAGGCCTGAGAGCCCCAATAATGATGTCAACCTCATTTTCGTTGATCTGGAAAGACATTTTGTTTTATACGAGATCTTAAATGGCTCTCAACAAAAGAATATCCGGTTTATTCAGAAAGTTGCGAAGGTTCTAAAATTTCTCTGAGCACCCTGCAAATTGTGAAAAAGATTTAAAAATTCTGAAGGCTTGTGAATTAAGACAATTCAAGAATGTGAATCCACTTACTGGTAGGAAGGATGGGGTAGATAATTTGTTTGATATTAAGTGATCGAACAAAACAGAGAATTTCCTCGTTTCCTGTAGCCATAAACAACTTCAGAACCTTCTCTGTCAACTTTCCTGCACTCAAAGTTTTCTGCCCATCGCCCATTCAAGGCAGATAGGAGGATTTATTAGAGTTATGAGTTTTCAGAGAGGCAAAAGAAGCATGAACAAACTACCTATGACATGCATTATATGCTGCAAAATGGCATGAATTATATCAAGAAAAGATTTGTTGCAACCATTTTTCATATAATCAAAGAGATCTGATATAAACACAAAGAAGCTAAATTTTAACAGACAATAACCAAATCATCCACAAAAGAATCTTTCCTTAGAACTTCCTACAGTCTCTCCAGCCTCTACAAATAGGGTAGCTCTTGGAATTTGATTATATAACGTAAAAACTAGCAACAATTGCCACTGCTAAGACCAATAAAAGTTATATGGAGAGCCTCCAATTCTAGAAAATAAGAAGTCAGGCCTAGAAAAACTAAAAGAAAAAATTTATAAACAGGTCACAGCTCATTTCATAAAACCTACGGATTGCATCATGAACAAAAAATGAGGACAGAAGAGTGGAGAAAAATTTCTCATTCTAACCATTGTTCTGCTTTTCCGATCAAGGAAACAAAAAGAAAAGATATCTCTTACTCTTAAAAATCCTATATTCTAAGATACAGATTATAACTTTTAATTGTTTGTTTCAGTATCCATGGTTGCTATTTTCAAGATTACAGAAAGAGCTAGCATCCTAAGCACCAGACCAGAAGTCTAGAGCCTAGGCATTTTTCCTTCTTTTTTTTTGGTTACAATAATTGATTATAAATGCCAATGTTATAGAAAACGCTAGGCACTGTAGGTGTCGACCTGGTACTTAGACACCTAGACAGACTTCTTTTGATGTTTAGGCGGCGAAGGATGTTATCTGAAAGTCGGACGAGATGGAGGTGATCATAGTTAGTTGAGGAGTTCAGAGGAGGTTAAGTACGTCGAGTTTGCAGCAGAGGAAATAATAGTGCAGTGCGCATAAGCTGCCCACACTACCCAGGCCCTCCAAAGGTCCAAAGTACCACCTAGACCTAGCGGGTGCCTAGGCGTTCTAGGCATTCAGTTTTTAAAACATTGGCTATTTTTTCAACTTCATTTATATCGCATGATTCCCTATTTTTAAGTAACTCCTTTAGTTTATATACCTACTAGACGCTCTCATTTAGCCATCTCCTGCCTTTGTATCAAATCCAATGGCCTTCAGATTCTGTGACTGAGAATCTCTTCAGATATTTCTTTGCAAGAACATTATTCCACTTTTTTTTAGCTTCTTTGTCCACAAACTCCATGCTTTTACTTCATATCCAAAAAAAAAAAATCTTGCCTTTATAGTTTAAAGTTTCAACATCTTGTTCCTGATATTTGTTATTTATTCTCTGCAACTTGATAAGGGAACAGATTAATAAATTAACCAGTAGTGTCTGGCAAGATGCTTTTTGCAATAAATAGCTTCCAAAACAGTCAAAATATGGTATGCGTCAATTGCTTATTCACACATATCTAATTTATGTTTTCAAGGAATTTGAAAAGAACAAGGAATTTCCATAAGGATTGCTACCTTTTCCCATTTATTTACTGCCATATAAATTATCCCTCCTATCTAGAGGAAATAAATTAGAATCAGCTGCAATTCAATGAAAGCTGCTGCTACAGGCAATGTAAAGCCAGAAATTTTATATTGTGGGGAGCCAAGCTACATAAGTGTCCTCTTATTTATTTCACAGAGTTGGGTTCTATGACATTTAGGAGAATCAACATTTTGCTCTAAATGATTGTCACCTATTTTTCAAAAAAAAAACAAAAAACAAAATTCAATAGTCTGAAGTTTTTTTCTTATTCGCTAGAATCGCTACTATGTGAAATAAAAATATTATTTGAATGTCAACAAGAAAATTATTGAATAAAAAGATTATATAAAACAATCGAAACAAAATTTTAAGCCCACACAAAAATAGAAGGTAAGCGTATAACCCTAGAATACTTCAATTACAATGGAGCTTCGAAAAATATATCAATTAAAAGAATACCCAGATAATAGAATATAGAAAATATGTTTTCATTTGTTTTCACCAAAAGTTTTGTCGATCACAATACTCTGTTTTACAGTTTGCACCGTGATGTATGGAGAAATAGAGTGATGTATGGAGTAATAGAGCTCTCTTTCTTGGCCCTTTTGTTTGCTTTGATAAATATCTTAACTCACTTTGACCAAATCATTTTTTTTCTCTAAATAAACCTTCCACTAAGTAAGTTATACCGACTGGAAAGTCAAAAACTTTAGGGGGCCAAAGCTCCACCTCCTCAAAGTTATATGTAACTTTGCCATTGGCTACAAGCCTAGGGCAGCTAAAAAACCTAAAGGGGAATTGAGTAGTGTTAGTGTCGAAAGGGAACTGGTGGTTTTTTTAGCCATTTATATGATGTAATCATGTGTAGCAAACTGATGATGATTTTGACTATGTTCACATGCTTGAGTTATGTTAAAAGTTACATAGCAATAAATAATCCTAAATATTAGATACTTGAATGACTAGGTTTTTTTTAACTGACTAGCTTATACTTTGTGTAACTGCCAAATTTGGTTGTGATTCGGTAAGAAAATTAGAAAAGAAATTGATATTTTATCATGCTAGTATAATAAAGGTACGTTACTAAACCCACACTTTTTCCCATGTTGTACTTAAGTAATATAAACTTTGTAATTTTTAGTTAATAGTTAAGTGTTGGTGTAACCTTTATGCATTAAATTGGGAATGTTATACATTGTGCTAGTGATAAATGCAAATTTCACTTGCTCAAAGATTACAGCCACGCGAGGCTAAGATGACGACCACGTTCAAAGATTACAGCCACTCAGGGCTAAGATTACGACCACGCAAGGCTTGCATGGGAGCGGTCTTTGAGAGAGCTATGCTCTGTATTACAATGATATTAACGTCTAATCTTTGGCACTTAATGCAGAAATATAATGATCTGACATCTGACAAGGGTCACCATCACCGATATGCCGTCCCTAAGAACCTCATGAGAGGCTAAGTGCTATTTGTCCGCTACTAAAACCAAAGTTCATTTTAGTCTTCTCCGGAGCCTAGCTGCTGCCACTTTCATGTTCACACATAACCGGAAAATTAAAGCCTTTAAAGGCATTAATTTGACTACTTGACCTAATCTAAGCATCAAGGAAGCAAATTAGAAGTCCAGTCCAGCCAAGGAGTCATGATGCATAAAGTACGATTACGTGCCATGCTAATGGTAAGGCTGAGAATAATACGGTTTGAACTGAAAAAACTGACTGAACCGCCCAACTAAAAGCAATTTGGGTCGGTTTTCTCTGTGTACTAGGCACAGTACGCTACGGGTGAGATATTTTGAAATCGATTTTCATTGAAACTGACTGATTTGTTAACACCCTCCGTAGGCACACCAATCCACCCACGTGAATTCTTCATTCTAACTTTCTAACTTGCAATGCACGCCCACCAGTCCAACTATGTGATGTAATCTTGATTCCAACTTAGGCTTGGTTTGATAGGAGGTATAAAGAGGGAAGGTAAGGCTAAATGAGGTGTAAGAAAGGATATACCCTCTGTGGTTCTTGTTCTGTTGGAGGGGAGTGAGGGGAGGTACATGACCTTTTAGTTCATTTTTCATTTTCTCTCACCTTACTTGTGTCTTTCCAAATTGAAGGGATTTTCTCTTTCTTCACTTTCTAGTTCATTTTTGTGTCTCTCTCCTCACTCTACGCTACCTCACATTCCCACATTCCCTTCCCCTCTAAAAACCCTCTACCAAAGAGAACTTTTAATTTTGCCCTTCACTCTACCTTACCTCCCCTCCTAAAAAACCAAGCCTTCATGCAAGCTTTAAATAAATTAATTTTTTGTGAAGATAAAGAGACAGGAGAGGGTTCACTCACCTTCGTCCTGATCCTCCTCCTACGCTTCTTCAAACTACCCAAATACATCCATTACCATTCCTCCATTTCTCAACCACAGCTTCACTTTTCTTGTGATTCTTCACTTATTCACATCTTTACTGTTTTCCCTTCAATTTACTTCATGAATTTGCGATAATGGGAGAGCATTCACTTTATGTTTTCAGCCTTCGTGTCACCCTGCTGCTGCTTTGTGGTTTGATATTTAACAAAAGAACCGACCGAATTGAACTAAAGTAACTTCGTTCGGTTCGGTTTACTATAGAACTTGGTTATTTTCGACTGTGGTCTGTGGCTTAATTGAAATTGACTAAAACCAACCAAACCGACCGTTTGCTCACCCCTAGCTAATGGCCCTCAAATGTGGTGTTTCCATCAAATCTATGAAAAGAAAACAATGTGTAGCCATGACTTCCTCAAGTCAAAAGCTACTGCAATCTCATGTGCTAACAATCTATCTTTCATGCTAGACAATGTTGCATATACATGCTGACTCAAAATCATTAATTTAAAGAAACTTTTCACGGAACTTCATAGAATCATAGTGTTGAAGAAAATCTGATGAATGCTAAACACTCTTAGAAATTACAAAATATATATGGTAACCAAATGAACGCTTGCTTGTTGCAGTAACTACAATGTAAACATAACAAGTAATATGGGTTATTCTTTGAGACAGTAACAAAAATTACCCAATTTATTGAGACCTAGAAGGTTTGTTGTTGCTCATAGGTCACAAATAAACAAGCTATAGGGAAAAAAAAGGCATTGCAAAATCACATGTAACACAGAAATCATGAATAATTGATGAATATACTTGAAACTTATACATAGTGATGGAAATTATGTAGCGATGTGTGAAGTAACTCCAAGGCATGACACGTGGCATAAGGAAAGCATCTCCGCGGAAAACCATGAGCTATTACTAAATAACGATAAAAACCAATATTTAAGCGTTCGAAAAACATAAGACATATAAAGCAAGTGTGAATTCCACAGACAAACTTTAATGAATTCCCTAGTTGAAGGCCTCCTTCTAAGATGATCTCGAGCCACATTTAAAATGTTATCATCACATCACAGGCCCCTTCCTCAATAATTCACATTATTTTCTGAATCCTAGAAGCGCTCAATAAAATAAAAATTAAAATATATATATATTTCAATGAAAGCCTATCGAATTCGTAACGTTCTACCATCTCTAAGGCCAATCATATAGAATTTCCTAATATCCAAAGGTTCACATCATGGAACAACCTGGACCCTACGAGATCCGCATTATCCTGTAGAAACTTTGAAGCGATCAATAAAAGAAGAACCTCTATTTCTACAAAAGGCATCATAAAAACAACCGAGTCTTTTAACAAGATTCCTAATTCATTGAAGCGATGGGGAAATGGTAAAAAAAAAAATCACAAGCTAGCGACAAGAATCGCCCAAACTTACAAGAATTATCAAAAGCTTATGGGGTAATTTGCACGCACGATTCTGAAATAATTTCAGGAGAGAAAATAAAAAGGAACAAAATCTAGGGCTCCGTTATTTTTTTTATTTTTTTTTAGTGGGAGGGGGCGGGGGGGGGGGATGATACCGAGAAGAGCTCGAGGAGGAGTGATCAGGGACTGCAGAGAGGTCAAGGTGGATGTGAGGGAGGACTGTTGTTGAGGCCGAGTCCAATTGTTTGAGAGGCATACCCAGCGTTGGGGCTTTCATTCACCGATCTTAATCTCTCGTTCTCTCTTCTTCTCTTC